CATGCAACCTGTGAGACGTGCTGTTTGTCAACTGTGGTACCGTTCGATGGCTCGTCTATTTGGCCTTCGGGCATTTCCGCATTGGGGCAGCAGAATCAAGGTCAACCAGTGCTACCAACTGCAGTGAATGTATTGTAGGTCGCTTTATGCATAGGTTGTTCCAGAAATCCCCTTTCCGCGGCTTTCATTTAATTGCCTTATTACAGGAATTGCAAAATGTTCCTTCTGCCATGCGAATGCAGCTTGAAAGGGAGGAAGGGGAAGAGGATTAATGCTACTCTGTCCTCTCTTCGTTCTCCTTAGTCTGCATTAGACTGTCTGTGCCTAACTAGATAACACAGCGTCTTCTTTGGAAGCTTGATATTATTCGGCCGGGCAGAAAGTTTCCTGCTCTTACGGGTTTGAAGGTTCATTACCCTTCATTACCATGTTTACATTTCCTGCCACTGGACCCCTTGCTGACAGAGTTCAACATAATCTCAATTTTCCCGCCCTGTTTCTCTTAAATACGGGTACATTTTAACAAAATATTCCGTCGGCACCCGGTATCTTACGTGGACTCCCCATTGAGAACTTATAACGATTCTCACACCTCCCATGCGTGCTATATATTCGATCCATCAGTATTTCTTTATTCAATCAACCTAATTATATTAGGTGAAATGCACAAATGATTTAGCTCATAATTATATAACCCCCTCTGATCTGAAATTAATTTTGATTTATTACGTCAGAATATTCTTCCCAGCTACTTGTTCTCAATTGCAATCTACGAGGTTCTTTGCTCGGGTTGGGAGAGCAGACTCACAGATTAAAGTGTAAAATTGCCGGTATATTACTAAATATTTTAATCATTAGATGTGTCGATCGGACATGACGAAATTAAATATTCTCTGCTGAATACGATACATTTCCCTTTCTAAGCCAATAATAATAATAATAATAATAATAATAATAATAATAATAATAATAATAATAATAAGTAAATTCTTTAAATGTGTATATTCCGGATGAACAATTTGAAATTAGGAATGAAGATAAATCCACATTGAAAGGCCTAGAAGTTAATGGTGTTGCGAACTGTTTGGTGACCCTGACTGATTAAACAGGGAAGCGTAAGGAAAGAGACTGCGCCGCAGAAGCGAGTACACATGACCTGCAATGCTGCCTCAACAAAAGAAGCTGCATCTTAGATTTCAGCGCACTGAGCTTCTTTTCATGAGTATCTGTTGGTTTTATGACCGTTAGTTCCAACTGCTGAATGAAGTCATCAAGGCATGCAAACATGAACAGAACTGGAACACGTACGTTTTTCCCTTCACTCGACTGGAGCTGTTTCCTATCCAGCAGGAATAACAAAGCGAGGAAACGTGGAAATTATTGGGCCCAAGAGATTGTGAATGGAGAGGGAAACGTTGCGGATTGTTTTGTTCATCTGTTCCAGACACTGACGAGCAAAATCCTTCTTGAGAAATTAATTTACTCAGTTAGTTTAAGGAATTCCCGGAATTTTATGGCACCTGCAGGTTCATTAACGCGTTCACAAGATCTGCCATTGATCCCTATCGTGAGCCACATGAATTCAGTCTGCATCCTCTCATCCCATTTCTTTATGATATAATTTAATATTCTCCCATCCATGTCTAGGTCTTCAAAGTGTTTCTTTCCTGTACGTTTTCCTACCAAAACATTGTATGCATTTTCCTTCTCTCCCATGTCCCCCCCCTCTCATCCTCCTTGATCTAATCGCCCTAGTCAAACAGAGTGTCTGAGAAAGAACTCCAGATTTCTAGTTATAAATACTGTACTCGTACTCGTTCACTGCTTTGACATAAAAATTTCTTACTAACAAAAACTAGTAGACAGTCTCTTAGAGTTTTACTGCCATTTAAGTGCAATTCAGAGAAAAGTGTGCAGGGGTACAAAAATGGGCTGACGCTCGTAGCTGAAGTCGGTGAACTCATTTTTCAACAAGATGGTGGACCAGCCAAATCTTGTGCCATTGTACGCACTGTTCTGGACAGACGATTTCTTGGTCGGTGGATCTGCAGGGGAAGGCCGATTAATTGGCCTCCAATGAGTCTTGATTTAAGGGCGAGGGCACATCAAGGAAACTGGCAACTGCAACACAACCACAATTTCCGAAAACTGTTATCAGCCTGAGTTGAACACATGTTACTGAATGAAGCAGCGCAAATTGAGGAAAGTAAGTTCCCGTTTCCTCAATTTGCGCTGCTTCATTCAGTAACATGTGTTCAACTCAGACTGACAACAATTCTCGGAAATTGCAGTTGCGTAGCGGTTGCCAGTTTCCTTGGCGTGCCCTCACCCTAACACCCCTGGGCTTCTTCTGCATGTATGTAAAAAACATCGTGCAGAGCAAAAGTGCGCAGTCTCTTCTGGATCTGGGCTAAAGGATTACAGTGGCTATCGTTGGCGTGCCTGTGGACATGCGCTACATGGTATGAGGTGAAGTGGATGCCCTCATTATGACTGCAATGAAATCAAGGAGCATCAAATGGATATGGATGTGAAATGCATAGAAAAATTGAATCTCAAAACCTGAAGGAAAGAGACCACTTTGATAATATGAAAATGGATCACATATAAAGAGGTTTTCAGAATATGGATTGGATTCAACTGGCCCATAATACTTTCCAGTGATTAGCTCTTGAGAAGATGATGGTAATGATCATTCCAGTTTCACAAAGGACAGAAATTCTTTTAATAACTGAGTGAGCATTAGCACCACAACAAGGAAACTTCTATCAAGGCACTTCATACAAGTAATTTACCTTTACACTAATTCCTCTGCTAGTCTGTATAAAATTTTCTGCAGTATTCTTTATAATATTTATATTCCCCATATCACCTTAATACAATCAGCATAAATTCTAGCCTTTCCTAATATATTCTACCACAAACATAACAATAAGTTTACATTTAATACTCTTCAGTGTTATAAGTAAGAACATTAGAACATTTGCTGACCCATTCTGGTCTGAGTAGTCTAAGTCTCTCCAAAGACCATTTTTGTTTTTTATTTCAGTAGGTAAACAGTTGTCTGATAATTTTCCTATCCAGAATGGTCTAAAACAAGGAGATGGTTTATCACCACTCCTTTTAACTTTGCTTTAGAATGTGCCATTAGGAAGGTCCAAGAAAACCAGGTCAGCCTGAAATTAAAAGGGACACATCTGCTGTTGGCCTATGCTGATGATGTGAATCTACTGAGGGCTAATATAGATACCAAAAAGAGAAACACACAAACTTTAACTGATGCTAGTAAAGAGGTTGGTCTAGAAGTAAACACAGAGACAACTAACTAAATGTTGCTGTCTCATCACCAAAATGCAAGGCAAAATCCTGACAAATAGGTAACAGATGCTTTGAAAATGTGGCACAATTCAGATATTTGGAAGAGACGATAACAAATCAAAACCTGATTGAGGAGGAAATTAAGATGAGATTGAACTCAGGTAATGCTGGTTACTATTCAGTTCATAACCTTTTGTCTTCTCATTTGCTGTTTAAAAGCATAAAAATTAGAATATACAAAACTATAATTTTGCCTTTGGTTCTGTATGGGTGTGAAATTTGGTCTCTGACTTTAAGGGAGGAACATAGACTGAGGGTGTCTGAGATCAGGGTGTTGAGAAGAATATTAGGACCGAAGAGGGATGAAGTAACAGGAGGTTGGAGAAGACTGCATAATGAGGAGCTTCATGTGTACTCTTCTCCAAGTATAATCAGGATGAGATGGGCAGGGCATGTAACACGAATGGAGAAGAGGAATGCATGTAGGATATTGGTGGGAAAGTCAGAAGGAAGGAGACCATTGGGAAGACCAAGACGTAAGTGGGTGGACAATATTAAAATGGAATTGTATGGATTGGATCGATCTGGCTTAGGATAGGGACCAGTGGAGGGCTCTTGTGAACATGGCAATGAACCTTCGGGTTCCCTAAATGCTGGGGAGTTCTCGAATAGTTGAACAATTTGCAGCTTCTCAAGAAGGGCTCAGCTCCATGAGTGAATGATTTCAATAGGTAACCCTGTTTGAAGAGGTCACACGATAGCATAGTTGGTTGATGCACTATGCTACAAGCTGAGAGTTCATGGGTTCGATTCCCAATGGTATCACTGGATTTCTAAATTGACCTAATCCTTCCAGCCTCACTATGGGCCTGGAGTTGACTCAGCCTCTAACAGAAATGAGTACCAGGAGTCTTCCTGGGGGTAAAGGGTGGTTGGCACATAAGGCTGACAACCTCACTGCCATCTGTGAGCCGACTGTCTAGCAAAACGTGAGAGCCTCAACATATGACAAACCTATGGGTCTCCACAGCCTGTTACAAGGATAGCTTTACCTTTTTTTACCCCTCTGAAGGAAAGTGGTAATTATATATATCACCAGCTTTAATTTTTAGGGGTGGGTTTCATGCAGTCCTCAGAATGAGCAATTATTCCCTATATGCCATTAACCAGCTGCTCTTTAAAATGAAGCTACTTTCTGTGAGGAAGGAACTGAATACTCCTTGTATACATTTACAGAAACCATCAAAGTACTACTCCAATATAAATCAAAAAGCATCTTTGGAACCTATGGATATCACTGGGGGTTCTTCCTTACATACGTCGGCCACACACCTCAGTAGGGTGTCAGCATTATTGGATGTAACTACAGAGACATACATATAACTATAATTTTTGCACGATAAAATCGAAAATGAATGGGGCAGTTTATAAATGCATGGATAGATACTCATGTACACACACATCTGAAAAAGGGAAATTTTGAATTTTGAAGGAAGGCGTGTCAGAATTATGAGAAATATGTGGAATTTTAACTTTAGACAACCACTTTATAAATAGTTCTAATATTCTAGCAATCAGGCTACGATGTTTAATGTAGCTCTGTGATCAACTGTAGTGATGGGATACATTAATTTACTCTCTTCCACATGTGACTATCTTTAGGTTCTTCTGCCTTCTTTCAGTGCATTGAGAAGAAATACATCTGTAGATGTGTACATATATTTCTCCCAGGAGTGGTGAGTGACAATGTTTTAACTTGAAATTATTATATTGTAATGAAGAATTTTAAATATCAATGTACACTGAGAATTTTATGCATTGAATCAAATATTTTGTACAGTGGCTTATGCCGTTTGTATTTTATACAAACACAATACAGCAGAACCCCCAATCAGTGTTCCTCAATTTAAGGTTTTCCTTCATTTAATGTTCAACTTCAGTAATCCCAAGCCAATAGTTTCAATGTTAAATTTCCCCCATTTGAGTGTTCAAATTCACTGAACCCAAACGAAATGTAAATGCAGGTTTACTGCATAATATTTTGATATGGTTTTGTAGATGTGTAAACTTGTGATATGGTTTGAGAAAGAACTACCTTAGGGTAAAAATTACACCTCATTAAATATCAAATTACCTCAGCAATTGAAATGTTGCAAAATTAGGAAACAGGCCTGCATTTCTTAAAACTGTGTTTGTAGAATCCATTTGTCATTGGAAGATAATGATACGACCTCAACTTTACCCGTCTTGCTATATATATTGCATTCACTTGTACTACTGAAAATTACAGCTGAGTCTCCGTGTATAGATACAAGAAAAAGATAATATTCTGGCTAAATAGAACTCAGCATGGACTCTTCTTTTCACTGCATACTCCTTAACACTGGTCAGATGTAATAAATGTGTTCTGTTTCAGTCTGACACTCTATCAATATCATCACTCCTTTAATGTTTTTGTTTGCTGGTTATACCACTCCTTTATAAATCATCATAATTGTCCCTAGAGTCACGTTCTGTATCATTGGCTTCATGTTTATCATTTTATTCCTCATTCTCTTCCAGAAACCACAGCATCATAATAACAAAGCTGTGCAACTGGAGTTTCCACATCTGTGTCAATCCGGGCAGTCTACATATCTCACAAGAATGATTCACTTCGTCTGGAAATGCTGCTAATATTGTACTATTTTCTATGCTGCCATCTTTTTCAGTTTGTTTGATCAAGCATGCTTCAGTTTCCATTGGTCTTACTCCCAAGAAAACCAACATCATACACAACATCTTTCAGTTTGATAAATTCTGCAACTTGCAAATTTTCAGTTTACAAAGTTAGCAAGTGGCTCATCATAATAGGCTTGGCAGGTTCAAGTAATGCCTTGGACCATGGGCGGAGTTAATCCAGTCATGTTCTTTGGCCGAAACATACTTGCAGCCCTTATCTTGCCACCTTTCAACTTCCAAGGCACCAACACATGGTTCAAATGGTTTTTCACACTGGGTACAAATTCACTTTCACAATATGAGGAAAAAAATATTGCCTGTTATTCAAACAACACAACTATTTTTCTAGATAGCAGACAAAGAATTCACATTGACATGATTCATACAGTGGGACTTTGATTCTTACTTATGCACATTGCTTGCAGCTTATGTCTGTCAGGCACACACCAAGAGTCACTTTCCCTTTGTTAGGTTCTCTTTAAGGTTTGTTTTTCTGTAAGCAGTTTGGGGTACAGTGCTGTTTAGTCGCACCATAGCTCAAGCGGTTAGTCACTGGCTTCCCACCACGGCGGTCCGGATTCGATCACAGGTCTGGTCAAGTGGGATTTGTGATGGACAAAGTGGCAATGGGGCGGGTTTTCTCCAAGTACTTCGGTTTCCCCTGTCAATCTTCATTCCCCCAAATTCTCCATCATCGTAATCACCAGGGGGAGATACAATAGGTCAATCAGTGGCCGCTGTGCTGAGGGGACCCAGCTGGACCCCAGCCCCGCTAAGCGAATTTTTTTTATAGTGCTGTTTCATCACAGATGTAACCTGTTCATCAGTGTACTCATCGTCAATAATCATTTTATGTAAAATGACCATACACTATTCAGCTGGTTTAATGACACCAGATGCACTTTCTCTTCCAAGGCTGAATATCCCAGGTTAAACCATCTACTGTCAGAAACACCCATCAGAAGTTCTAAATGTCTTGTCTCCACTGTGTTGTTTGTTACATTCAACTGCTTGAAGTTCCAAAATTACCCTACTTATAGACAGTCCTTCCTATGCTTTTGTAGGCACCACTTGTACGAACACTCTTCAACATCGCTGTATTCACAATGCCCAGTTTCCTACTTCTACAGCCCTACATGCTTTTATAAAATCTATAAATGAACATCTCCTTTCCTTTTTCTTTCCTCCAATTGTGTGTCATTCCTTATGAAATTCCACAGTTGTGGAATAAACTGGTTTTTCATTCTCCCCTTGTTAACTCTTTTGACAATCTTAAACTTTCATTTCAATGTAAGATTGTTTCTTCTTGGTATTCACTGCCACAGGCTGGCTAACTTACTAATAAACAGTCAGTTGCTGGCACCATAAAAAGACCACAGCCCTGGGAATTCCCTTTTTAAATCAGAATGTCCTGTACTCTTCACAAGATTTACAATTCATGAGAGACTGAGCAGGTAAAAGCATTCACATGCTAAACATCTGAGGTTCTAATAGCAGTGAATATATGATTACTGTGAGGCACCCATTCATACCTCACTACAGACAATGGCCTCTACACAGCACAGTATTTGGCAATAAAATCTTGTACATAGTTTGTAATATATTTCAGATTAATTTTTATAAAACAAAACATAACTGTCCTGGGGTACACAATTATATGTGTAATATACCCAAATCTGCATGTAACTTTGTTCGTTTGGGTACATTATCACATTTATCTTCTTCTAACCACTTTCTTTTCCTGTACACTCTCATACATAGAAACAAATGGTCATAACTCCTAAACTGTAAGCGATGGGCCAAAATAGGTTGTATTCTTGAGAAGCTTGCATTTATTAACATACTTCACTCACAATATGTCCAGATCCATCTATGCGCTTTGCTGAGCACATTTCCAAGGTAATAAAGTCAACAACAGAATGCTGGTTACTTACTAGCGAAGGTCTCAATAATCACAAATTGTTACACTTTGCTGAGAATATTTCAAAGGTAACAAAGGTATCAATTATTACAAATTGTTACAAATTCTGTTACTTATGGCTTCATTCCACTTGCACCCTCGAATAATAACGTTTTCAACGTTAAAAAGATGGAGCAAGGTTAGAAGGCATCAATCATATGGTGCAATACAGCATGACTAATAAAAAGAAATGCTCTTTTATGAAAGTAACTCCACTAGTATTTATTACACATATGTACTTAAAATACATAATAGTGGCAATATTATAGACCCTAATGACGATACAAAAATCATTATCAGACATAAATGAAGAGTCTCACAGTGTTTTGTATACATTTTTTACATACTTTTGCTGTTTTATTTAGGACATTCTTTTACACAAGTGAAAGCAAACTGAGGTCATAACTGTGAAAAAATAGAAGTGTGACATTCTGAAACAACATTGGTACTCATACACTAAAAGTCACTAATCAATCTCACCAACATACACAAGCTTGTCGCTAGATCCTGACATTATGATGGGTTCTTTAGGATGGAAATCTACATCATTTACAGAACCATTATGGCCTGGCAGTTTGTACAGGATCCGACGTGACGTTGTATCCCAAAGATAGACAAACCTGTCAGCTGATCCTGCAGATACCTGAAACACATTTAAAAGCCATAGTAATTCTTGTGTTTTAATTGACTTTAATTGTAGTACAATTGTAAGTGATCATATATTTTCATCTGCAAAAGACAGAGACAGAGTTGGAAGACCCCCATAAGGAGACCACAGAAGCAGATGTAAAATAATGGTTCTGTAGAAACATATAGTGGAAAATAAATACTACAATCACATTTCATAATCAACACATTACTGTCTGACAAGAGCAGTGCACAATGCTAATAAAGCTACAAATACCTAATAATTTATGACAGATCAACTGGTATTCTGCATAAATATTTTATGAATGGGTTCATTTCAGTTTTACCAAACATCAGTATATCGAGTTCAACATGTATGATCAACTCCACAGAATATGGAAACTTGAACTTCCCAGCATTTTATGGAATCTGAAGGTTCATTACTGTGTTCACAAGAGCCCTCCACTGGTCCCTATCCTGAGCCAGATCAATCCAGTCCATAACAACACATCCTATCTCTCTAAGATCCATTTTAATCCCATATCCATTTTCTTTTACTTAGGTCATTTATCCAAGCAATCCATCCAGGTCCAAGGCTTCTTGTGATCTTTCGTAACAACCAAATTTTTTATGGTGAGGAGTTGTTAGCCCCATGCCAAACCTCTAAGAGGAGAACCACCCCTTGTTGACTGTCCGCGACTGCTTATTCAATATATTCCTAGCTACCGTCCACATCTAGCGACCTCCGTAGTCTATGGGTAACGTTCCCACCTCATGACCCAAGGTACGCGGGTTCAAACCCGGCAGAGGTCGTGGAATTTTTAAGGGCAAAACAATTCAGGGAACAAGTCCTCTGGGAGGGACTTTAAGCCGTGGTCCCATGTCGTAGATTTACGGCACATAAAAGAACCTCATGTCTCTAGGAGACCTCTGAGCTAAATTACAGGCCCTTTCCCGCCCAAGTAGTCTCCAATGCCTCTGGTGGATGGGGGAAGCATCAAGGTACCGAGTGCCGACCTCGTTGGCTCTACAGGGGCTGATGGCACACACTGTTACCGGTAGGGTATGGCGACAGTAGAAATTAAAGGGGGACACAGAATGGACCAATAACTGGTCGAAGTGCACGGAGAAACCCACCTCCCTCTCATAATACGAATACGAATACCCTCCATATCTGGAGGCTGTCTCCTCATCCGCAACCTGAGGACATGCCATACTGTGGTGACAAGGGACCCACCTAACATGGCAGCAACAGCAACAAACATTATTAAACAAGAGATTATAAAGCTCAAGTGACCTTACCTTTGAACCATCTGAGGTCCATGCACACCTCAATAAGTTTTTCTCAAAATTGTGCTGATGACCAGTCAAAATCTTGACACAGCGTTCTTGAGCAGCAAATGGTCGCACATCCCAGATTCGGACTGTATTATCCATTGCGTTAGACAAAACATAAGATCCATCTGGAGATAGGCTCAGTCCAGTAACAGTATCTCCATGACCTTTCAATCTATATAAGAGAGCATTTTTCCGAAGATCCCAAACCTTGATGTCATTATCTATTCCTCCTGATAATATTTGTTCAGCTGTGTCGCTAAATGTCACAGCTGTCACCTGATATGTGTTATTGAGAGTAACTCCCTGTCCACGCTTTCGTGGATCCCATAGTTTAATTGAACAGTCATCAGAACCACTACACACTAGCTGTGGCCCACGTCTTGCAGGATGGCATGAGTTAACAAATGAGGTATGGCCCTTAAGTTTTTTGACGCGAATTCCAGTTTCTATATCCCACATTCCCAAAGTGTTGTCGGTGCTAGCAGTAAACAATGTGTTACCATCTGTAGAAAAATGTAATTCCATGATTGCGCCCGTATGACCAGTCATTAGAGATATATTTTCACATTCCCCATAGACATTCCAAATGTATATTTGACGGTCAAACCCAGCAGATGCCAAATATTGCCCTTCAGGGTGAAATTCTACCGTAAAAATCTCTCCTTGGTGTCCCTCAAGTAGCATGATAGGGGACATAAGGCTGGACGTTCGCGATACATCACTCTGGACAATACTTGTTCCCTTGTTGACATTAGCAACCTCAGTTCTTACTCTCTTAGCTGCAACTACGGCTAATTCTTCTGCCTTTCTTTTAAGATCCATTCTTCAGAATGAAAAACAACAAAGTCTCTGAAGAGGCTAAGGCCACGACGGTCTTATTCCCGGTTGTACAGCCTAACCTGCAATGAACCACACGGAAATTCATCAGTCTCTAAAGTTTAAATACTTTAATCTACTAACTAATTGCGGTTATTTTCTACCACACTATAACATAACTGTTACATGAGCCTAGTCAATTCCACCAGACAAGAACATAATACACGTTACCGCAGCTTGCTTTCCAAAACACACCGTCAACTACCAAACAAACACAATACCGTACCCACCGTACCCACCGTACCTCTATCGAACTACACAGCAATCGATATGCATCCTCAACTCGATACATTTCAATCGATTATTCGGACTATCACAGAGATTACGGACACGGATGACACAGCAGAGAGGAGCAAATTAACGCTGCTGGTGGACAATAACGAGAGGGGCATAGATTAATAAGGTTGTGATAGCGACATTTAAACTCCGGGTTGAGGAGTCAAACTACATATACACAAGCAATTCCAGTCATGGCCGCGCCATAGCTCAAGTGGTTAGTCGCTGGGGTCGCTGGCTTCCCACCATGGCGACAAGGGTTCGATCCCGGGTCTGGTCAAGTGGGATTTGTGGTGGACAAAATGACGATGGGAAGGGTTTTCTCCGAGTTCTTCGGTTTCCCCTGCCAATCTTCATTCCACCAATTTCTCCATCATCATAATCACCCGGGGCAGGCTACAATAGGTCAAACAGTGGCCGCCGTGCCGAGTGGACCCAGTTGGACTCCAACCCCCACTAAGCGAATTAAAAAAACCGTTTGAGCTATGGCACGGCCTGAGGTGTTGAGGTTCCCACATTTTCTAGACAATCCGCTCATATATGGCGGTAAGGGTGTCAGTCTTATGCGCCGGCCACCCTTTACCCCCAACAACATTCCAAGCATATACCTGGTACTCATTTCTGTTAGAGGCTGAGTCAACCCTAGGGCCATAGCGCGGCTGGAAGTATTAGGTGAATTGAAAAAAATTATGTTATGTTATGTTATTCCTTTCAATAATTCAGTGTGCTCTTCAAATAATTTGAAGACTTTTTTGGTATATAATGCTGTACTCATGGAACATAACAAGAGTGGCTTCATATTTGGTTGGCAATTTTTTATTATTTTTTAAACCGAATAGGTTTCATAGGTCAAATTATTTTGGAAACGATTATAGCTACTAGAGCTATTCGGAAAGTAACCTTAGGTGAGCTGTTAACAAAACAAGCAAAGAAAACAATTATTATAGACAAAAATACATACATACTCCAGGCACTTCTCAACGTAGTCACCGCCGGAACTGAAGTACTTGTCTATCGGGGAATACGTTTTTATATGCCTGTGTCAAAGAAGTCTGCCGTCAGTGATTTTAGCCACGTTTCGACACCTTCCATCAACTCCTCATTATTGTTAAAGCAAAGTGATCACAGTCAGTTATTGAGGTAGTTAAACAGGCGGCAGATGTTCGGAGAGAGACCAGGGCTCTAGGAAAAGCAGTCAAACAACAACCAGTTGAAATGCTCCAGCAGTGCTCGAGTGCGAGCAGCTGTACTCGTATGCGGACGGTTATTACTATTCCACGCCGTTTGCTCTGCATGACCCTATGTAGCATTTCAGCGTTTCGCAAAACACTTCTGACATTGTGAAGCGCCGTCTTTCGCTGATTTATTGGTCAAAGATTTGAACAAGATCATCATTCACTACAGATGGCTGACCACTTCCCTCTTCATCGTGAACATTTCTTCACCAGCTCATCTTCGAAAATTTAACATCATTGTCTTATTGTTCCTTCGCTCATTACAGTTTGTCCGCAAACCGTCGTGCACAATGCACGATGTTCCTGCAGATCTCATGTTTTAGCGCTGAGAAAACGTATAGGAGCGCGAATTTCGCAACTCGTGGCCTTATCAATCTCAGGACACATCATAACTCACTCTGTAGAGACAAGAACAAATACTAGATGATCAGTTATGTGATGGTTTACAAGTCAATGAGTCATGTGACGCTACCTTTCATGAGCGAGTTCTCCCAAATTCGTACGTTAGTTTCTTAAAATAAATGGAACTTACTTTCCGAATAGCCCTCGTATGAGTATAAGTGATTTATATTCAATAGATACTTTCTATGGCTAAGCAATGGATGTTGACATGTCATAGCATAAATACAAATATGAACACATATTTCTTTCAGTTATTTATAAACATCCTACACAAAAATATGTTTTCACGTGATTACTATAGACGAGGTTCGAACTGGTAATTGGACGTTTAAGTAGTTTTTAGTTTGTGTTAATTTTTCACAGAATATAGTTTTATTATTTTCGGTATTGCCTGGGGTACTGAGCCAGACATAAGTATCACATCTATTCAAAATAATTGCAATTATATGGTGTCAACAATTACACATTCAGTTGAGTGTAATTTTATGCACTTCACAGATTATACAATAAATCCCGAACTCGGATTAGGGTATTGAAAAAATCATTTCAAGAGGAAGCTTAGTACCTTTCCACAACAGCATACATTTTACCCTGTAGATGAGGGCATACTTTAATAACAGAATACGATTCTGTCCTGTTCGATCTTGAGTAACGATGACTTCTTTTGTATTTTATTGTGCTTGATTGAAATTAAATTTACATCTTACACTTAAATCTTACCGACGTGTCCTATGTCAATAGTTTAGTAAAAATAATAAAATAAGACAAGTAAAAGTAAAGATAAAAGTACATGATCGCGGCAATTTTTGTCGTTATTTCGGGAATAACGCTAGCCCTGACCTCTGGTGACTACAAGTATAAAGATTACTTATTTCCTGCATAATTTTTCAAGTTTTGTAGGTTTTATACCTGTGAAGCAAATAACGACAGTGAATGGATCAGGAGATCAGGAGGGGTTAAGCATGTGTGTAGCGAGAGCATGTGTGGTTGGTTATGTTTTATAACAGAATCGATTAGTATATTGTTAGGGTATATGTTTTATCGTGTTTTGTTTGTGCTGATTGATCCTGGCATTTGTAGTATGTATGTACATCGTTGAGTGATAGAGGCGTTTAGAAGTTGGTTTGGCAGTGAACTGTAAATGTGCGTTTTCAAAATAAGGAAAGAAATGTCTTTGTCGTTATGAACATTACATATTGTTGTCAGAAGAAATATTTAAAGTAAAGGTAAACGTGTTAATATTCAACTTGACATTGTTTGTTTATATGCGTGTTCACGTTGATGGGTTTTCCCAGGAAATGTTTTTATTTTTCGCATGCAATGAATCAAGAATATAAGATTTTGAAGTGTGTCCTTGCGTAACCAACTCTGTACACTTAATAATAATGTTCAGGCATACAAGTCGAATTTTTTATTTCATGTGAGTACTGGACAGGATTCTTTGATTTAACCTGAAAATGAAAAAGTCCGTGCTTAGGCCCCTCACATTTACAGTTACGTTGAGAGAAATCTGGAAAATTTGCAAGTGTTGCCATAGCCCACTTGAATGTAGTACAAACTTTGCTGTGGGAATAGGAGCTTGACAGTAACCAGAATTACTTGCTGCTAGTAATGTGTACATAGATTTCCTGAATGTGTAGTTGCTAGATACAGATAAAGGAACATCACATTTTTTAAAAGCCTCTTTTTGCTGAGAAAATAGTTGTTCAAGATTATTTATGACTAATAATAAAAAAATCCTGGTATTTTACATTGCACATTTTAGAGGATAAGCAGACTAGCATTTCATCAAAATGGCCATAATCATGATGAAAATTAGTCGCTTGAAATGTATATTACGATTTGAACCTCAGAAGTTGGCCATCATGTAAGATTCATTTTCTCATTGTTGAATTATCTGTGTAAAGAAACAAACTTTAGAATTTACTTGCTTAACTGTTTGCTGGCCCATTTGGAGTTCATGTCCCTGTAGGGTCAAGAATTTTCTTTTATCCATGTTGTCCAGACCATCTCTGGGGCTCACCCAGCCTCCTATGCAGTGGGTACTAGGGGTTCTTTCTCCAGGGGTAAAACAGCAGGGGCGTGAAGCTGACCACTCACCTCCAACTAGTGACAAGGTCAAGAAAACGTGGATCTATACATCCAATCCCCCCATAGGCCTTCCTGACATAATGCTTAATTAGTTAAACACAAGGACAACTTTACCTTTTTACCCTTTGGTGGCCCACTTAATTGTGATGTATGCCATCACCGGACAATTCGAATGTATTTTAATTCATTGCACATTAGGGATGGCAGTAGGTGATTGAAATCACTACTTTCTACAGTGTTAAGTTACATTAAAGGAATGGGATTCTGTCCACAGACGAGTACATGAAATTATGACACAAAATTAGGAAGCAGTAATGAACAAGATGACTCTTGTACTGATGATTCATGGTCACCTGTCAGACCTTTGACATAATGTTCATACCACATTTCATGAAAACTGAGCAGCTCAGAAGTTGAAAGGGAGGCATGGACATGAGTACCAGAACCTTATTTCTCTAAAAGAATACTAACTGATAATGAGTTGGATAATATTGACTGCAGTTGAAACATTTTTTAACAGTTACTTGCATATTCACTGCAGTGGATTTCAGATTAAGTTTCAAAGTTGCAGAGTACTGGAGTTGGTCACTTCTTGATTTGCATTTCCTTTATTTAATCTCAGTCATTTAAAATAATTAATTTGATGCAATTAAAGGATCATTTCACACTTCCATAAGTTCTGAAATATTGTGTCGTAGCATCATGTTGTGTTTTCTTGATTAGTAAATATGAGAAGTTCCTTCAACATACCAATTATATACAGATTAATTAATTATATTGTTACTTTACCATGCAGCATGGTTTGATGTATTGACAATCATCAGGATATCGTACATACTTTATAAATCTTTAACAAAAATTATTTTAACAAATTGAGCTTAGTCATGATAAAGAGATCAGTCTTCTGGGATGTGTACCTTGAAGATGGTACGTTCTTCTGAAATATTGATTAACACAATATCTACTCAGCACCACATCCCAGAAGACTTTTTTCTTCATAGTCACCACCGTGAAAACCTCAAATCTTATGTAGTCATTATAGTTTATACAGTTTACCCAAAATTTTATCACATGTAGACTTATGTATGAACAGTGTCCATGTAGCTAATAATGGTTAACTGACATTGTATTTAAAATAGCCCAAGTTATTCCAGTAGGCAGGAAAATATTGCATGATGAAGGAACTGTATGTAAATCAGTTGTTTGCAATAATGTATTGATGGAACTGCTTATACTTACTTCATAAGTTCATTTGGTTATTCTGTAGCCAATACTTACCTAGAATTTGGAAGTATGAGAAATATAGCCACCACATCAGTATCATTGTATCATCAGTTGCTGCATCTTGAAAATTGCACGAAGAATGGACCGTGACAGCAGAATACAGCATATTGCATGTTGATCAGCATGTGTGAGATTCACATTCTGCAGGTCTTCCACTTCCTCAAATGTTCAGTAAGGCTACAAAACACTTGTTGATGAGAATCATATTTCTGCTGTAATGTTGCAGGGTTTTGAGTGCATTCGAGCAAAGCCTGCACATTGCTCCACACATACTGCACAAAATAGCAGTTATTAGTATACCACTGTAAGAGAGGCATCTGCTTTTTCTATTCAGCATTAATGGCGTCCAGTATCTACAGAACAGTTTAATTTGACAGAATATGGATTTCTAACCTTCTTTCAACAGATTATATTTACATATTGTTTTACTCTTCTGCACATGGAACTTAATCACTGTCCTCACATCTTTATGTTTGTATGTGGGTTTGTCGTATTGTATCTCATTTTTATAGATGTATATGGTATGTTGTGATGTGTACACAATTTGTGTACGTAGTTAAGTATTGGTAACTTATTTATTCTAAAACTTGACTTGTCCTGTATCTGAAGGCTGTATTGCCAAATATGGATTTATGGAACAAATAAATAATATATAAATATAGAAAATCACTTTTTTATATTCCATAGTTCTCATATGCATTCAGGCACCATGTGCCTACCATCTGTGTTCATTTGATAGTGACACCAGTTGATTCACGTATGTCAACCGTTATGCACTAGGTGTACAGTTGATGCTAACACCAGTTGATTCACTTATGTCAACCGTTATGCACTAGGTGTACAGTTGATGCTAACACCAGTTGATTCACATGTGTCAACCATTATGCACCAGCATCACCATATCAGAAACATTAAAACTTTTGAAATGTTCAGTCTAGATATCTGCATGTAAGGAAAGGCAAATGTAGGGCACCTCTGTGTAATGCCAGACTTCATGCATGTACTGTAGATTCTCCTAATGCAGAAATAGAACATAATCACAGTGTTAGCATCTTATACCATCAGGAAATTTTTAAAATCATGACTGTGTAATATGAAGGAGTTACTGCATAAATGTTATAGAGAATCTGTTTTCTCACATATTCAGATCCAAAACCCTGTTCTACACTCTGGCTTCATGAGACCCTAATACGTGACATTGATATCTTGGCCATTCGAGAGTGTCTTCATTTCTAGTTGCTGTGGTCTGGTAGGAAATCCTCTGGCTTTCAGTCCATGTTCTCAAATTATTTAGAACTATTGCTTTTTTAGTTAACCTGTTCAGTGAAACCTCTGTTAATGAACTTTGGGAGAATGGCTCTTACATTTATCATATAGGATTTATCATATATAATTAGTATAATACAGTTTCTTTACATAAGTATTTAAAAAACTGCTTCTACATAAATTGATACAGTTACATAATATTCATTTATCTTTTACAATAATTAATGACATGGAATAAACACTGAAAGACCGTCTGTTGAGAACCACAGCAGCTATGATGCCACCACCAATGTGGCTCTGATTCGTGTTCAGTATGACATCACCTAAGATTATTGTTATGTGGTAACAACTGTCTACAGGGAGAAAACAAGAATATTGGTTGTTTTGATGACAGTCACACTAAGTTGAAGTATGAGTCCTGGAGATTGAAAATTTTGTCCATCAAACACTGCTTATTTATTATTATTATTNGATTTATTCACTCTATCTTCAATAGTCTTCACTTCTTCACAGTAAAATACCGGAGCTATACCAGTGTCACTGTATTACACACTCCCAGTACCTTCTTGCACTATCACCTGTAGTCACACATTCTGGTCTTCACGTTCATGATTCACTTGCTACAACTGAACTCGGCGACTGCTACAATTCAGTTGACTGCTTAGACATTCCATTTCTCTTATAAACCTTCAGCTGCACAGTGGAAAACGCAATTCACTTCCCTGTTGCGTAATCGCCGCGTTTACAGGTGTTGCTGGGCCACGCTGCCGAGAGTTGTTTATTGCTGTGTAGCAACCAACATGCTTTGGCTAGGCTCGGAGAAACACCGCTTTCCTTACTGTTGTGTAACTTGGCAACCGACCATTTATCAAGGGTCTGTTTTCATGGTAACTCATTCCACCTCCCGTTGCCCAGCAACGGTTAGACATGTCACATTATTATTTCATGTCATCCCATTTTGTCTCACCATATTATAAGTCTCATTGGACTAACAATTTTTATCTTTCGTGCCATGTAATCTCCATTAAATAAACACATTATTCATTTTTAGTGTGCTTTCTTTTCTTATGGGGAAAACGTATAATAGACTTACAGTATCACCATAGTGCCTGTCTGTATGTGCACATGTACACATAATATGTGTGTTCCCCTTTCAACTGTTGAAGCAGCCACCTAATTTCCATAAAATTTGCTATGAATGTTATGCTATTAGAGGCAACCCCAACCTCACTTCGTATTTTCCTACAATCTGTGACACCAGCATGGTGGCTGAATTAACTTCTCATGTGGGAGTGTCACTGGCACCGTTTAATACGTATAAGGTGCTGAAATGATGTATAGTAACAGATTTTTGGAAAAAATGGGTAACAAGGTTTTTGGGGGTGGGGGGTGAGAGGTGGTAGAATGTAGAACAACATTACATGTGAATGATATTTGTTTGTAGCTTTCAGTTTGGTGTCAGTACATACTGAAACACTGAATCTAGCATTCAAAATTGGGTATATGAGTAAGGTCATTTATACATACATACATGAAGTATTGTTCTTAACCTAACAATGAAAACATGGCATTGGTTCAATCCTTTGAGGTTCTTCAGTAACAGGTTGTTCCCAAGAAGAAAATAAGTACCATTGCTGTTGCTGCTGCTACTGCTACCACCAGTGAGGATGACAATGATAATGATTATAATAATAATTATGAGAATGACAGTGCTGACTATGATAATGATGGTAGTGATAATGATGGCAGTAATATTGTTGCTGTTGTTTTTGCTGTTGGCAATAAAAGCCTAATTCAAGTGGGATTCGATCATATACGTATATTGTCACATGTATGTGTGTGTGTGACTGTAGACGTGGTGTGGATTGGTAAATGGATTTATTGACCACTTATACACAGTACTCAAAACTGCAAGTAATTACAGCACTACCACCAATCTCCACAGTTTAAAAATCGCTGCTGTGAACACTAAGTCTTCTTATGCCTACAGGGTCTTCAACAGACATTTCCTGGTAACGGATGTTAACAGTGGAAATTCTTCAGCTTCCCACACTGAGGACCCTTCCTTTCTGGCGAATATCCTGCAACTGAACTCTTTCAATTCCCTCAGCTGGCCTGCATTTCTCAGTATATATTCCCTGGGCATACCAAACAGAAAACACCGCCCCAAGCAGGTCCTCTATTTGTTACCAAGAAACAGCTGTTGTTTAGTTGTTTGTTTCAAGGTCTTTGCCTAGCAGTGGGGCTATATGCCACACACACACAAATCCAGCATGTTGGTTTATGAGTTAAATTACATTTTGTAATGATGTAAAATTTGTAGAACTAGAAAAGCTGTGCCTGATGAAAGTACTCACAGGTTTAATGACTCTTGCTTCCTTATATTCATGTGTGTTAACTTAACATTTTCTTAATTACATTTTTATAGCCACACATTTTGTTGTAACATGTATTATTGTGTGTTTATCATTATCTTTTTTTGGAATGCACTGACTATGCTGTATTGTGTGCATGTATACAGTTATAAATTACTGCAAGATCCACAAATTACCATGGTCCTTACAAATTTCACGTTCTGATTGGTGTATTGATTTATTTGCCTCTAGGAGAGTGTGATGGATGATGAAGATGCAGACACGCCTGAAGATGGGAGTGACGAAGATGAAGTAGAATATGAAGACACAGAAAACCAAGATTATCAACAGAGTACATCCAGTGAAAGTGATGAATACAGGAAATCCAGTTCTGACACCGGATCTGCTTCAGAACAGGAGACTCGACGGGCCATTACTAGATCGTTTACTCGTCTAAAAAGACAGGTTGAAACAAAATGTGACACGCCTTTACAAAAATGTTATCGCTGTGGCAAAGTCCTCTCTACAGACTTCTGTCTCTGTGTATACAAAATTCCATTTCAGTGTGAACGTTGTAATATAACATTTGCAGGTCTTCCGGAATTCCAGTCACATATGAGGTCTGTCCATACACCTAACCGTATAAATATTGGTGCCACTAATAACATTGCCTCTAAGAGTGCTACCAAAGATAGTCAACCAAGTGTATTTTTTAATCCCAGTAATACAGAACCTAAATTTGAGCCTGAGCTTTTAAGAACAGAACGATTACAGGAAGTGCATACATGCCAGACATGCAAAGAAACGTTTAATACAAAACTTGGCCTTATGGCACATAGTTTAAATCACACTGAACGTGAAGAAACTAACACCTATAAGTGCAGTCATTGTAATCGTGAATTTACATCAACTGTTCGATTGTCTATCCATGTGACACGAATGCACATTGAGGAAAAGAAATTTGTCTGTGATGTATGCAACAAGGGTTTCAGGTAGGAAATGAAAACCTACATCCAGCGATTGAAAAAGAACTCTTATGATGAAGTGGTTAGCACTTCTGCTTTGTATATGGGAGGTACCCATTGAAAATACAGCAAAGTATGTATATATCAAGAATGTAAAAATTTGTAAAAATTATAATGAGTGCTAACAATGTCCAGAAAGGGTTAAAATACATTGTCATCTAAGGATTAACTTCACTAACTTTTGGGATGTGACCCTGAGCGTTCGGGTAGAAGTCAGCTGATGTTTTCGAGCAGTGTATTGCTTCTGTCTTCAGGAACGAGTAAGCCAAACAAGAAGAGTAAAAACGGTATGATTGCTGATTGTTTGGCTTACTCTTTGAGCCAAAAGATAGAGGTTCCTCCAGAACATTAGTAAACTGTGAGGGAGTTTGAAAAATAATGAGACTACTCACATTAGTCAGTATCTGAGGATTCCTGAGGTTTGGCCACTGTTTCTTTTTTGAAGTAACATGCTTCATGTGCTGTACATTTTTTTCAGTGCCTATCTCACTCCTGAGACATGACAGTAGGCAATTTCTACACATCTTGCATAGGATAGTGGTGGTGGCTTCTTTCAGTTAAGTTTTACTGTTGAATATATGTCCTTGTAGTTCATGTCTAAGTGTTGGAACTGTGCAGAAGTCACATGGGGCGAGGGTAAGGTGGTGTTCTACAGGTGTTCCACTGATGTCTGCTGGTGTCTCTCATCATCATATGTGCAATATGTGGCTATGCATTGTCTTGAAACAGAGGCCACTGTTCTGTCAAGAACTCTGGTCTTTTCCAAATAAGTAGAAAGTAAAAAAGTAAGTAAATCTATCCCTGTAAAGAGGCCATGAAGGCCCATAGGGTTGTGAGACTTTGATGGTCCCAGATTATCTAGATAATCGACTCAAAGATGGCGGTAAGTTTGTCAGCCTTACTTGCTGGCTGCGCTTTACTCCCCAGGAAAATTATTTAATTAATTCCTGGTATTCATTTCTGTTAGAGGCTGAGTCGACCCCAGGGCCATAGTGCAGCTTGAAGGATTAGGTCAATTTAAAAAAAATCCAATGACCTCATCGGGACTTGAACCCACGACCTTCCGGCTTGTGGTATAGCCCCTCAACCAACTACATTACCACATGACCCCCCTTATTTTTTCAAATAACATTCCTTAAATGATTTTTAAGTATATTTGCATAGTAAATGCCATTCCCAGCTGCCTTCCAAGATAGCCAGTGTGAAGAATAATGCCTTTAAAGTCAAAAACAATATTGGCATTATTTTTCCTGATGATGGTGCAATGCAAAATTTCTTTAAAATGACTCCATCATTGAAACACTGTAGCTGATCTCATACCTTCTGTTCCATGTACATTCTATAACATCTCTAATATCTCTTCACTGCTTTTCCTGAGCTTCACACAGAATCCTACAGCACATCTATTCCCGGAAACGTGTGAAATATCCTTCTGTTTCATCATTGCAAAACAGGTTCTTAAAGAGCTCATACAGACGTGCACTCAGTATGGAAACTGATAATAATCTTTGCACTAGTAGCTAAACTCACTTGAGGAAATACACAGCACATGCACCATCTCGATCAGTGTGACCAAAGGCGAGCAGTGTTGCCAATCACATTATTTTTGGAACTCTGTTCGTATTACCAGACTACACCATATCACATCCCAAAACTCTTCATAGTCATCACATGAGCATGCCAGATCTCAGTCATAACCTTCAAGCCCATCACTTAACTTCCATTCCCTTATATCACAACGTGGAACTTAAGAGGGGCATATGGTAGCGTACTTGGTCAAGGCACTATGATACAAAGTGGAAGGTCATAGGTTTGATTCCTGATGAGGTCATTGGATTTTCCAGTTGACCTAATCCTTCCAGCCACACTATGACCCTGGGGTCAACACAGCCTCTAACAGAAATGAGTACCAAGAATCTTTCAAGGGGTAAAGGGCATCCGGTGCATAATGCTGACATCCTCACCACCATCTGTGAGCCTTGACATCTCACAACCCTATGGGCCTTCACTCCCTGTTACAAGGAAGGCTCTGCCTATACCTTTTACCTTTACCATTATTTATGGTACTTAGGGGGGCATGTGATAGTGTAGTTGGTTGAGGCACTATGCTACAAGCTGGAAGGTTGCGGGTTCGAGTCTTGATGAGGTGAATTTTTTTTTCCATTTACCTAATCCTTCCAACCACACTATGGCCCTGGAGACGACTCAGCCTCTAACAGAAATGAGTATCAGGACCCTTCCTGGGGGTTAAAGGGCGGCCGGCTCGTAAGGCTGACAACCATACCACAATCTGTGAGCCAGTTGTCTAGAAGATATGGGAACCTCGACGTCTCGCAACCCTATGGGCCTCCACGGCCTGTTACAGGGATACCTTTACCTTTTTTTATGGTACTTAAAATTACAGAATCAATGCAGATAACAGCAGTCTTTATTCCTTTTAGAATTGATTACCATAAATACTTAAAATAAACAGGGAAAAATTGACACTTTTGATGATCTGAATTGAGATGATAAAAGATGTCTGACACTTACTTGATCTCTTATACTGAAAACTGAATGCTTATTAGGAACCTTCCTTTACAAGCAGAAGTTCTGACTATTGTTTGTGCATCTACAATGTTCAGATTTAAAGTCAAACGAACTCATACACACATAAATACATATGTACACAGACACACACACAAACAAATGAACGCACACACATGCACACAACCCCACCCCCATTGCGCACACGCAAATATATATTCCAGGTCCAGTTCAAAATGCAGCACAGCCATCCAGCGCTATGTTGAGACTGATGCTTTTTCATGCTTTAAAACTGTAAAATGTCCCTTCAGAACATGGAAATGTCTGTGAAGGTGCAGTGGGTGTCACCTGGTGTGCATTTCTTAGTGGTTAAGACTTGGAGAGAGTAAGCTGCTCACACTTAGATTTCGGAAGGCAGGGTTACAACAGAGAAGGTGGGTTGACAGAACCTTTATGGACTGCTAGCCACAAATAATTCTGTGGGGGGGGAACTGAAGTATAGTTTATGGGCTAGTTAAGAATCGCTCATTATTATGAATGTGCTGAAAAGATCCTTCAATTTATGTAATAGTTTTCACATGTTCAGTGTTAAGTAATTGATTGTTCCCATGGATTTTGTCACTAAAATGAAGGTCATACTCTTTCTACTGTGGTTTCACTGTATTAGCAAAAGGGCAAGAACAGCATAAATTCTGTCTTTAAGAATCTAATGTAAACTACATAGGTTATACAGCAGTGAATAATAGGATGATTGAAAATGACAGATTTGGAGGGTGTGGAATTAAATGGTCATCTGTTTTAAATCACTGTCCCATTGCCTGGAGGAACTGAGGAAGTCCAGTGCTCATGATTGCTGATCTGTGGGCTGAGATTCAAACTCAAGACTCCTTAGTACTCAGGCAAATGCTCATAATTCAACCATGGTATTTGGTTCAATCTTAGCAGGGATACCAGTTATTCTGGTGGAAAGTTTTCATGGTTCGCCCTTCAGGCAAATACTAGTGGTTCATTGAAGCAGGCCATGGCTCTTTCCTTCAGTTTTTTATACGAGGGTCGTACTGAAAGTCATGAGCAACAATTTTTAGTAAAGTAATATGCTTTATTATTGACAAACTAAATACAGCACCTCAATCTACAGACCTTTCTTTATTTTTCCACATAGTCGCCACTTCTTTGTACACATTTCTCCCAGCGTTCTGGGAGTTGGAAAATTCCCCTTCTGTAAAATTCCATTTCAGCCATCCGAAGACACTGACGCACTGCTTTCTGAATTGCCCTCTTCTCTCAAAATGTCCACGCAGCTGATCCTTCACAAATGCGAAGAGATGGTAGTCGGAGGGTACCAGATCAGGGCTATAGAAGGGGTGTGGAAGAAGTTCCCACCCAATCTTTGCAATTCCTTCCAATGTGAGGTGAGTGGCGTGGGGGCGAGCATTGTCATGCAGGATGATGATGTTTTATCCCGGACGTTTATCGCGCAATGCATGACGGAGCTTGTGCAGCGTCTGGACATAACGAGTAGCATTGATGGCTTGCCCAGGTTCCAGGAATTCGGCCAGAATAAAACCCTCTGCATCCCAGAAGACTATGCCCATCACCTTCCCAGCTGATGGTACTGTCTTTGCCTTCTCTTTTGATGGAGAATGCAAATAGTGCCATTCCATACTCTGCCGTTTTGTTTCAGGCTCGAAATGGTGAAACCAGCTTTTGTCACCTGTCATAATACAGAGCAAAAAATCATCGTGTTCGTGTCGATATCTCTGCAGCAGTTCTGAGGTGATGGCTTTTCACTGACCTTTGTGGTCTTCGGTCAATAACCGCGGGACCCAACGAGCACAAACTTTCCTATAGCCCAAGCTTTCAATCATCTCCTGTACTGCACTGTGCCCTGTTCCAAGTTTTCGGGCTGTTGTGCCCACAGTCACACATCTCTCATCTTGAATGATCTCATCCACTCTTTCCTTGTTGCGTTCAGTTGAGGCTGTTCGAGGATGACCACTCCGAGGCTCATCTTCGATGCTGGTGTTCCCATCTTTAAAATGTTTCACCCATCTTCGAACACTGTTCGCACCCATGCACACACTTCCATAAGCACGCTGAAGTCCCTGATGAATTTCTGCAGCAGGGATATCCTCTTTCACAACAAATTTGATGACAGCACGCTGGCGAAATGACATATCGTTGTCGGCCATTTTGTTAGGGGTGATACTGGTCACTTGATGCAAGCTATTGACATCACAAGACACTCAAGGTTAACACAACAGCTGGTTCCACCTACCACCGTACTCCCTTTCGTCTGCTGTTCCCAGGTTGCATGCAAAAAATAGTTGCTCATGACTTTCGGTACGACCTATGTATAACGAAACATTGGTCTACTGTGATGATGCCAAAACTGATAGTAGTCATTACAGTGGAAATGCTCTTTCTTGCCACAACTTGAA